AGTTAGATCGGGGTGGTGTTTCACCGGTGATAGCAGCACGCTGCTATTACACGTGTCAAATTGGGTTTCCATGGAGACGTCAACAAGCCCATTGCTCCAACACTACCACAAGTGTGACGTCAGTAGAATAGCAGCGTGCTGCTATCACCGGTGAAACTCCACCCGGGCCACAGACATATGACGTCATATGTGAATCCCTGCACGGTACCTAACTAAAATGTCGCAACTTCGCAACACCCTTATTGCAAGAGGAGCTTTCACAGGGAATTTTTTTTATAAATTTAGCTCGAATGTTTGAATGGACGGATTGACAGAGCCGGAGCCCACGCTAAGCGGAGCTTGTTGCGTTGACCCCGACCCCTACCGTCCGATCGCGCAATTCCGGGTAACGGGAGAATTTAGATGCCAAAGTTTAACGTGCCCTTCAAAGCCGGACACGGCCTGTCCCACTCAACTGACTTCAACTGGCTGCGGATGCTCCCACCAACCGCAGACCATCCCCGTCAGGAGTCTCAAATATCGAGCGCTGGAGCGTCTCGAACCCGGGCTCTCACTACCGGGAGTCCAATGCTCTACCAACTGAGCTACGGGACAGGCAATGAAACAGGAAATGAAACTTACAGTACCTAAGTAGTAAGTACCCTGTTGAGGTCTCAGCTTGTATACCTCTGATTTTTATCCTAAGGGTCACCCGAGTTCAGGATGGTCACGTGACCTCACCATTATAAGTCAATGGGAGAAATATGGAACCCCTGGCGCCGGGAATGATCTAAAGCTATCTCAAGCACACGGAAGCGTGATTTCATGCACTCCTTGCAAGGTCCGAATTCCGATGTCAATAACTCCATAATCCCGATCAAATTTAGCTAGGTCGCGAAAGCCACAAATAGACTCAGGAAGACCTGCTCATGAATCGAATGTTATGCACTATGACCTCCTTCGACCAGCTTCGTGAGCTGTGTGGCTCTGACCTGGCCTTGACCCGAGGTCAACACTATTAGTTGACCTCACCCAAACAAAACGTACGAGTAAATCAGTCGACGTGCTTGAGCAAGACAAATACGATGGTGCCAAAGTTGTGGCTCTGCGACTATTTTTGGGTCAAAAATAAAAAAAACGTCAAACATTTTGACGACGCTATTTACCAAAAACCAAACCAGAGCCTTCGGGTACTTGACTTGACCTCGGAGGTCACCGGTTGACCTGAAACATTGAAATTGGGTGCCAATCATCGCTGCGTCTCGCAACGGCGCACACGCTCGTTTTTCAGCGAGGCTCTAGCTCAAATGGGGGGCGAAACGGCGTCGGTGTATGAAGAAAATCGAAATGTTCGGCGAGGGTTTAACCCTCACCCGGTGAGGGCTGATGCAACCTCCCCCCTTCCCGTAAGTATTTTTCGCAAATAGCGTAAAAATGGCGCCAAACTTGAGCCGCCGCCAAATTTAGCATACCGTCTGGGTCAACTTTTTGGCATTTTCCCTGAAAATATGTCTCAGTCATCTCAGGTGAGGTCACCAGGTCACAAAAACCGGTACAAGGTCAGGATAAAATTGGACTAGTTGAGCGGCAACGGAATGACAGGGTTCGGCGTTTATAGCGTACTCGTAAGTGCCGTTGCGCCACTAAATTTCAGGCACAAATTCGGAAATTCATTGAACACTGAATTGGAAAATGGCACTTGTGACCCCTCCCTATGTCCCCCAGGTCATCGCAGGTCATTTAAAGGTCCCAAGCAGTTTTTTGGCAATAACTTTTGATGGAGACATATATCGAGCGATGAAAACACCTCCGATATGATTGTTCAATTGTTCAGGTCGACTATACGGATGAAATGATATGCAGCATGACCTTGACCTGAGGTCAAAATTTAAATTTGACCTTTCAAGATCAAATTATAGTTTAATCGACGCGTCTCGACGAAACGAACACGATGCTGGTAAGATAAATGTCGTAGCCTTCTTGAGTTAAAAGTTACTGCAGAAAACTGTTTTCGTAAGAACTGCTATTTTTCCAGTTTTTGCCCTCTGGAGGCATATCTGAGTGCACACTCCTGAAAGAGCGCTAAAAGGAGCTATCGAATGCGCTTTTCCACGGCGCTGTAGCCAGAGGCGGATCCAGCTCAGAGTTTTTTTGGGGGGGGGGGCAAACCATAAAAATTTATCGATTCTTTCCATGCATCGTTCATAGGCGTAATGTTAAAATCATGCCGTTTGGGGGGGGGGGGGGGCAAATGCCCATTTTGCCCCCCCCCCTGGATCCGCCACTGGCTGTAGCTCTATTGTTTCTTGAGTTGTGCGCCGGTGTTTAGAAAAATGTTGAAATAGACAAAATTTACCTTTGATGACCTTTGGTTACCTGACCTTTGACTTGACCTAAAAAATGATCATTGTATTTTCGTCCTGATTTTGGACGTTCTTTCGAATGCCGCTCACCGTGTGTCGCTACGTGGCCCAAGAGCCGAGTTAAAATGCCTGTTAACCCGCGCCCCGCTGGGGGGGGGGGGGGCAGAATCTGCCCTCTCCCGTTTTTCGCTAATAACTTCTAAACGTGTTAAGCCAGCAACGTCAAACTTTCAGTACCTTATCATACATCAATTTGACACGTTCCCTGAAAATTTGAGCGGAATCTGTCGTTTTGTTTTAAAGAAAATGGCGCATCGAAAACGGCAAAATTTCAAACGCCGCTAACATCTTCATTTTTTTAGGGAATCAAGACGTAACAAAAAAGGTTGTACTTGATTCTATCTTTTCTATCAAATGACTATCTCGGTTTTTGATTTTTTTTTAATTTTTGGCCCAATTAAAAAAACTGACTGTGCTGGGCTGTGCCCACACGGGGCACGTGCTGACCGGCTGACCGTCTGTGACGTCAGAGGTCAGCGGGGTCACGGTGGAGGGCGGCCGGATCGAGTGTGGAAAATACAGAACGCAAACCGCAGCACGCGCGTGTGGACGTAGAGCCGGGACGCAGAGGGCACACTGGCTTTTTTGGAAAACAATTATACAATAATTTTTTTTGAGTGTATCGAAAAAAAAAACGGATTATATGTCAGAGAAGTGGTTTACCTATGGGCACCTACATACCAATTTTTAGAAGAATCTATTCAAAAATGTGGGAGTTATTCAAAATTTTATGACGTCACGACACACAACATTTTTGAAAAATGATTTTTTGGACGTTCTAGACCTCGCAAGGAAACAAAAATAGCACCATTCGATTCGCCGTGAAAAACTGCATCAGATAGACACCTCTGTAGGTCTTAACAACCAACTTCAAAATTTGACCTCACTTGACCTGACCTTGACCTGACCTCGACCTGAAATTCATCCAGATGTAGTCCATATCACTTATTGAGTGTGTCCATTTAATTCTATGAATAAAATGACCCATAAAACATGTGTCGCACGTGCCCCTTTCTATATTTCGTTTTTGGTGACCTGACCTGACCTTGACCTTAACCTTGGCCTTGCATGATATTGTGTGCAACGAACATTGTCTTGGTAGCCTAAGAACACGTTTTGGGCAACCAGTCTCAGTCCATTCTTCGGCAACTACGGTGCAAGCTGGCCGATACTGTAGAAGCTTGCATTTTGTACCCTTGACCTGACCTTGACCTGACCTCTGACCTACTTAAGCAAAAAAATCGGCTCTAAAGATCAGCCTTGTTGAGAGCTTTCGATTGCCGTTTTCCCCGTCTTTCTACGACCATCGGTTCGGAAGTTAGACGGGGGGGGGCAGAATCTGCCCCCCCCCCAGCAGGGCGCGTATGGCTGAATAGCCCAGCGGGGCGTGGGTTAACCCTCGCCGGACCTATTGGTTTTCTACATACGCGCCGGCCGAGGGGGGGGGCGGGTACGACCCCCCCCCTCGCCGTTTCGCCCCTGGTGGAGCTAGCGCGTCGCGGAAAAAACGAGCGTGTGCGCCGTTACGAGACGCAGAGATTGGTACCCGATTTTAAGGTCCTAGGTCAACCGGTGACCTCTGAGGTCAGGTCAAGTCCCCAAGGTACGGTTCAGTTTTTGGTCAATAACTTCGCAAAAAACGGCCGCAGAGCGCCGATTTTGGCAGCATCGTGTTCGTCTCGCTCAGGCGCGTCGAATGATATACTTTTTGTCCGGGTCAGGTCAACTTGGGGTGTTGACCTCAGGTCAAGGTCAGGTCAGCACCCCCAGGTCACGAAGTTGGTCGAAAGAGGTCATGTCGCATATCATTCGATTCGGCAGATCTTCCTGAGTCCATTGGTGGCTTTCCCGACTCGCTAGCTTAATTTGATCAAGAGTTATTGACGAAAAACGAATATGACCTTGATGACGTCATAAATGACGTCACGCAAGGTCAACATTGCAAAAGTGACGCATCTAACCTTGCAAGGAGTCCATCAAATCACGATTCTGTGTGCTTGAGATAGTTGGAGATCGTTCCCGGCGCCAGAATAGCAGTTTTCATTTTTCCCCATTGACTTATAATGGTGAGGTCACGAAAATGACCTGACCTCATATGACCTTTAGGAAAAATCCGAGATATACAAGTTGTGGGACTCATAATGGATACTAGATCCTGCAAGTTTCATTTCCCTGTGACATCTCCTCTGGCAGTGAGGGCGTTGCAAAGTTGCGACATCTGAAGACCGTGCAGAGGTTCACTTATGACGTCATAGGTCAGTGACCTGACCTGACCCAAAAATGCGGTTGGTGTCAAAAGATCCGGCTTGGATCAAAGGTCAGGTATGCCAAGTTTCAGCTCTCTATCGCCAGCGTGTTCGGAGCTATCGCGAAAAAATCCTATGGGGGGGGGGGCGGCACCCGCCCCCCCCCCCCTCGGCCGGCGAGGGTTAAGACCCCTCCCCCCAAACCCCTTCAGCCCGGGCCCCGGCGTGGTTGACGCCGAGCACCGGCCCGGCGCGGGATAACAATAAATGATTTGTCTTCCTGGACATTAAGACGGCGGGTTTCATTGCGTGAAATGAACCCTGCGTTCCAAATTCACGCATCAGAAAAGGATCACAGTTGATGACATTTATTTCACAGAAACCATTCATCAACTATTGTATCTCTTCCACTCTCCGTTGACAGAACTGTAACAGAGATGACCGTCGTATTTCATATTTGCAGCTGAATCACTACCACATGGACTTATTGGACAGGCCCCATTTATCTCTATTCTTTCCGATACCGGAGGAACGCCTCTGGTTTGTCAGGCGATGTCAGCCTGCTTTACATCTGTCAGAGAATGCACCCACGTATCTCGGCGACACTCGGTGTGCAAAATGCGCCGGGCGATTTTCTCAGCCTGAGATTCTGAACTGCACGACTCATAAAATAAAAAGCATCACCATAAAATTACTGTGGATTTCTCTGGGCGGCGCTGCGCGGCTCGGCGCCTCCACGCCCTCAGGACCTTACAGGAAGCTTTCCACCGTCTGACACCAGACTATGAAACATTGATTCTCAGCAGGTTCTGGCATTTTGTGCTCTGTAGAACCACAGCCTCGATAGAATAAACGGCATTGCTTTTGCGCCTGTCTCTGGCCTCACGTCACCATAACATAGTTTCAGTCCACACTGTGCGGTTTCTCCACATCACGGTAAGCTGTTTTGGTCCACTGTGCGGCCGGTGTCGCGTCGGCTCACTTTCATCTCGTCGGCTCAGTCCACCGTAGCTCAGTTTCGGTCCACTGTGCGTTTGTTATTCCGTCTCGTCTGCTCAGTTTCGGTCCACTGTGCGGCTGATCCAGTTGAGGTAGGTGTCGATCTTGGTGAAGACGGCCGGATAGTTGGGATCGGCGCAGCCCTGGCCGTACGCGCCGATACCCATCACCTCCCAGGGTCCGGTGCCGTTGGCGGACTGGCGCATCAGAGGCGTGCCGCTGTCACCCTGCAGAGGAAAATATCGTGTCAGGGGCTGTCAGCTCATGTCTCATGACACAGGGACAGGGACAGTCAGATCATGACACCTTGCCGATGTTTGTCCCATTATGACACCGTGTCTGTCAGGTACTCACACTCGCTTCTGACTTCTGAGTCAGACAGATCACGCCGCTCTGACCCGTTTAGGTGTCAGTCAGGTCATGACACCGTCACGGCAGTGTCAGTCCGGCTACGATAGATTAGACACGGCTGTGTCAGAATGATCAAATGTGTCAGTATGGAGATAAAAAATGGGACGCGTTATGCGGAGAGAAAATACAACTTAAACGGTTGATTAACAGCAGTCTACCAATAATAAAATTTCAATACTTTCACGAGATCCATTCTCGATCAGTTTTTAAAGCCGCTTTCAGGATCGGGATTGCAACATCTGAAATCACATTTTCTGCGTCTGGACGCCTGCTTTTCATTGAGTGCTGCAGCCGTCAGCTGCACGCCTCCTCGGGGCGACATTTATAAACGGTCTGCGTGTTCCGCGGCAGCTGTTTCAGGCGCCCACCTAATCAGAACCGCCGGCATCGCGGTACGCTTTTCCATCCTAACGCTCCTCCATTGCCGTGCCAGTCAGACGCAGCCCTCCACTCCATATCAGCGCTATCCCTGCTCGCCGCCCGCCCCCGCCCCCGCCCCGTGGACGGCGGACCCCTGCCGCCACCAAGTCGTCAGATGCGCTAATACCCACCACACATACACACACCAGAGTGGTAGTAGCAACACATTAGCTGGGGAGCCATGATATCTCGGAAACCATTAGCGACAGGACACAGAAGCCGAGCCCGGAAAACTATCAGCAGGGGTCAGCCAGCGTGAGACGAAAAAGAAAAGAAAAAAAGACCATAGTCTTGCTTTTGTAGCGGTGACCGTGACCTACAAAAATGGGTTGTAAGTAAGGCGGCATTATTATATAAGTATTGGGTGAAACAGAGAGGGAGTATCTATCAAAAGAAAGCAAAACGTCGATTTGATTGGCATAGCCCTGCATCTACTGTGGTATTTCTTGAATCGGAGCTTTTTATAATAGGAATTTTTATGATAACCACTCAGCGATGATTACCTTGCAGGAGTCGATGCCGGAGTAGTCGAAGGCGCACAGCATGCGGTAGGTGATGGTGTACTCGCCCTTGTAGGAGGCCACACACTCCTGGTGGGAGCTGAGTTCGGCGCTGGAGAAGTGCATCACCCGCCGCGGACGACCCGCTGAAACGAGGCGGGGTCAACGGTCAGGAGGACAGAATGAAGGTCAACCGAATACCCTACTGCCTGCCTTGCGCCTGCTGAAACAAGCCGAGGTCAAAATGGTTAGGGCAGAATGCAGGTTAAAGGAAATAGTTCACTTTTAACATGGGGTTTTGAGCTGGAATAGCAGTTTCGTAGCTTGAGCTGAGACTAGCACAAATCAGGAGCTCTTACGGCTCAACGATCACCCTAGACGAAGATATTCCATTTCTCGTTCCGAAAAGAGTGCCTTGTAGAGGAATGCGTGCCTTGCACAGGAATGCAGCCACGTCATCGTCAGCCAATCAGCGTGCTGCTTACAGTCAATGCAGTATGCGTAGGTTTGAGCTACGCAATATGATTGGTCAATGCGTAATAAGCTTCCGCGTCAAACATTATTTTACATAGAATATAGTTCGTCCTATATTAAAATATAGAAAATAATTGTTTTTACAAAAAGGTTTTATTTTATTTCATGATTATTTTGAGCATAAAAAATCAGAAATCAATAGCAAAATGCTGATTTCAGGAAAGTGGACTGTTTCCTTTAACCGAATACCCTGCGGCAAACTAAGGCATGCATTGTTCAGATATTGTTATAATCGTTAGTTTAGTATGGTATTCAATATACATAAGTCATGGGTCATGGCGCCTCGCATTTAAATGCTTTTGTAATTTGAAGGTCAAACTATTGTTCTTATCCTTTCATACTTTAAAAGATTACCAGAGAAGGCAGGCAACCCTTCTGCAACCGATATGAACCTCATTTGAACTATTTTAAATCCTCTGCAAATATGCTGAAATAGCTCACCTATAGGTGAGCTATTTCATATTTTATAGCAAAACATATATGTTTTGCTATAAAGCAATACAATCTCTTGTTCTAGAATAGACGTAGAATAGTTTCTGGCAAGCTGTTATTTCATTGCTACATGAATTTGCTAAAAATGGCATCCATAAGTGGCGGCCGCCTTTTATAGAAAGAGCTACATTTCATTACTGAATAACCTCGAAGCATGTTTGATTTGACTGATTTTTTTTTTAATGCATTCAAGGAATCGGACTATCCCAATGCATTGACATTTTGCAAAGTTCGTTAGCATGCGCTTAACTTACGTGAGCATACAATTGATGGTGAATTGAATGGCGCATGAATTGATGGCGAATTGTACATAGCATAACACACCGATAGGTTTGCTTCATTACGCATTGCTCATATAATCCTGCTGATAATTTTCTCGGAAAGCAGACTTCTGATTGCAAATAACGAAATAAATGCATATACTAGAAGTAAGTTACATGACAGCTCTCAGCATCAATATTTTCCGGTTAACGTTATGGCACCTATTTCAGACGACAGCTGCTCTACTTAGTTAAAGTGACTCTGTGACTTTGACATATACCTTTGTAAGGTCACGTTATAAACGCCTTCCATAAGAGCCAGCTGACCTTTATTACACGACCGCAGATGACGCCAGGAGCCTGGCACTTTGAAACTCATGAATATATGCATGCAAATTGCCGCCTCATACGGGAAAATCCCAGGGTTCAAGAATGCTATGCCTCGTTGGGTTGGGTGTATGTTCAACGAATACACATATAACTACGTCCACAGCCTGAATCTGAATCTGAACCGGGGCTATCTGAACAGCTTCGCGAGCCATCAATTGTTATAGGTTTCCAAACGGCATACGGTGGTGTCTTGTATGGCTTGCCGCCTGTATAGGTATAATATGCAGGGCAGAAGGAATTCTTTCGTGGGTGCTGGGATTGACAATATAATGCTTTATCCGGAATATGTGAATCCATATAAACATGTGGCCAAAGGCGCTCCAAATGGACCAACACAAATGGTATATTATATTAGATACAATGCTACCGCGCGACTGAAATATAAAAGTAAACTGTGCATTGTGCAACCGTCAGAGATGTTGATTAAGTCCAGCATTTGTTTTCTAGCGGCAGTTTAATTGCCAAGAAGCTACCGCAACATAACACTTAACTTCTGTTCCAATGCGAGCACAGCACTCATACTTCCCGAGAACTTTTCTCCGGGCAAATAACTTGGTAAGTCGTAAACGACGAAATTTCCAGGAACTCGCAACTTGGCTCGGCAGTGGTGCATTTAACTCAACAAAAGAACCACTCAAAGAGTCGCAGCTTAACTCATCCCTCCCGTCTGCCCGCCCAAGAGCCACGGTGGCTGTCTCAACGCGGTCCTTTCGCAGTACCGGTCTCTAATCAGACGACAGACGTCATAATGACTTCCATTCTGATAACAATTGAGGGAGCATTGCGCAGTGAACTGGCTATAGATGCGCATTGAAGAATTTCACTGGTATAGAAAAGAGAAAGATTTACCAATGTCTGTTTGGTTTCCTGGCCAAAAACCGAGGAAAGGTGTGGTCATTTTTGGCGGGGAAATGGTCAATTTCTGAAAGGAAGTCGATTTCAAAATCCATTTCGTACCTACTTGTAGGTATGTATGGCTGGTTAGCATACACTGTCCTAGAAAGAAGTGACGATTATAAATGGTGATCGCGTTTCTTCCATCCATGAGCTGCTTTTCGTTAGTAGCTAATAAAAGACGTTGTTATTTTTGTTGCAAGCTGGAAGCTGGAATGGTTTTTGTCAATAGTGCGAACTTAAATGATAATGAAGTAGCAACCTTGTTTTGCAATATAAGCTGCATCATGCATGTTACCAGCGCCCAGCACCCAGTAAAACGAAAGCCCATCCCTTCTCCCATCAGTGGCCGTGGAGCTGAGATCGAGGTGTGTTACGAGCTAAGACCGGGGCGGCTCACAATGGGCCATCAGCGCGGCAAACAGAGCTCGCTCGGGAATATGGCGGCCCCGTAAACAGGGTCGCTGAAACCACCCGCAGAGCCGCCCGTCTAAGACGTCCGCCTGCTACCTTCACTGTTTCGAGACCGGCTGCCGATGGAAGGGGAAGTTGGGGGAACGCCGAATACTTTTTTTCTGACGCCCGTAGCACGCAAGGTAGACAACATAAGCTATTCTTGTTGGCGTCATTCGAGAGGCCAGTCTTTTGCCTTTCAAACATACCAGGCGCATTTGATGAATTCGCATACCGTTAAGCGCACAAAATAAAAATATCAAAGAAGTGACTTTTTCGGCGTTGCCCCGGACTGCGGGGAAAGCCGAAAATGGGAGAAATGATCTACGGGGAATGCCGACATTGATGTTTTGCCACTTTATCTCAAACTTTATCCAGAATTTATCAAAGCTGACACGCGTTTTAAGAGCTTGAGGACGCTTGGTGCACACTGGAAGTTATAATTGTGTGATATAATAAGAAAATGCCAGGTAAATAATTCCTTATAGGTAACAGGCCGTTGTGTCGGTTGAAAGTGTAATTTGTGTGACTAAAAATTCGCGTTGCTATTCTACAGCAGTAAAGTCCACGTAGCGTGCTTTAACGTGCGTAATTGCACGTTTTCGGCATTACCCCAGCCAGCCATACTTTCATTTGCAGGCCCATAAGTTTTCAACGTGCCGTATAAATTTCAAATAGGCAGCACACTAATGCCAAGACATGCTGAAGATTACTTGACCGAATTGGCCAGACAAACGGTAGCATAACGAGTAAGAAATGCAGCTTCAAAGGCGCATGTAGTACAAGGAACGCGTACCTTGAAAACGCTCTTGGCGCCCTCACAGCCAAAGTATTCCGAATGACGACTCGTAACAAACATGCGATAATTGTAGTCACTTAAGCTTCAGAGCATCACTGACAGGTGGCATCCATGTCTTACGGTTTTCGAAATATCTCGAATTTCGGCTTTGCCCCAACTCCGGCATTGCCCCAACTTCCCCTAAGCCCTTTCCGAAGATGGGATTTTCGTCACGAATAATGCTACTTTCCCAGACCAGCTACGCATTCTGTTGGGAATTAACCACGGTACCTATTTTGTGAGAAAATAATGTGTTTTATAACTGTCTTTGTTTTTGGCGTAGGTATCAGTCCGCTATGTCAGTAGATATGAGCTTCATGAATCACGGACACGTTTAGGCCTTGATCTCGGGCATCGCCCTGCCTTTGCGACAGATCGATTCCTCGAGGCTCACAGGGCGTGCCGAGTTTTACTAGGTGAGCGGCCCTCTAAAGAAGTTGATTGAACTTTTTAATCTTCATCCTGCTGGTAGAGCAGCTTGAGAGCTCTTAATTAGCGTTCCGTCTTCAAAAAGGCAATGCGCTCAGGTCTCAAGGGGAATCGGTGTTTAACCCGTACATATAGGTATTCACGAAACCATGACTGAACTGTACCTAAAGTAAAATACAGACCGTCATATTGTAGCGGGGCTCAGCTGCAAGATATTTTAGATTTGTTTGCGAGGCAGGCCCGTCACTCCCTTCCTCAGACGACACGGTTAATCGGCATCCGGGTCCCGGTCCCCGCTGAAATTGTTGGTCGGAGAGGAGCCGTCCTCGCTGCTGGTGTATATCTTTTTTTTTAATTTTGATGTGACCGGTTGGCCATCTTTGGGTCGGTGTGCCGTGGCCGGGAGCCGGCGTCCGCTTGGAAAATGAACGCGGCAGCGTTACAATATCAACCGCATGTTATGCTTATCCTCGTACTATAGCCTGAGTAATGTGTTGTGAGGAGGAAGGCGAGGCAGGTCCTTATCACTACATGTCACAATTTAGATCCTTCATGGATTTCCTTGGTGGATCCCAGAATGATACCAACATCGGGTTTATCTATACTGCAAGCCTGTCGGGTCATGTGAAATCCTCTATAGATACGAGTATTCACATGAACAAGTTGACCATCTTATAGCAGTGCCGTATACAATCTACATTCCCTGCCATATTCTCCATAATGACATACATGCCATATATGCCATAAGTAAATTATGTACATTCTCCGTGAACTCACTGTCTCTCCGGAATCCCCATCCGGCAATGAGTGCCTCCTTTTCCGCCAGCGAGTCTCTTCGCTCCGTCTCCAGAGGCAGGCAAATAGGCCGGATCACATCTGTCAAATGTCGGGAACGATCGCACGTCAAACGGTATGACGGCATGAGTAAAGGGTTCACAGGGTTCGGAGCTTTTTGTAAAGTAATCTTGCAGAGCTTCAAATGGGTGGATGAGTGACACGAAACCCACACTGGGATATGATATTGGTGTTCTGCGAAGTGATCATGGAGCTATACGCTTCGCTGTCAGGACGGTACCGAGTAAACCTTTGACCAGCCATGAGAGGAACACGCTTCATTTGGAACTTCATGTCATGCGGCATACGAAATAGCTATATACTCACATCAAATATGCTAAACCACACTCCATACGTGAGCTGCTGCGCTGCATATTGCCTCTTCGAAGTATTTGCATTGGAGTATATCCTCAAGTTTCGTAACCAGCGAAGAAAAACAGCGAGCGAACTAAAAACATGTTTGAGTTCTGTGAACTATCCCAGCAGCCCTTCCTAAATGCAGAAGTCTTGAAAACCAGCATACATAGGTATATGCAGTTATGTATGACTTGTAGTTAACATTTGAACCACTGCTATGCCCCAGTGTTCATACTTAAACAGAAGCCACCCCGCCCCACCGTGTCCTCACCGTTCCTGGGAGCCCGCCGGGCCAGCTTGATGAGGCCGATGTTGTGGATCAGCTCAGTCTCGGTGCCGCGCTGCTCCAGGTAGTCGGGGTGACGGATGGCGTCCACCACCGGGATGACGACCGGCGGCACCTCCTGGTCGTCATCGTACGCCGCCATCACGTCAATGTCACCCAGACGCGCCTCCACGCTGGGGAAAGGGGCATACGTAGGTAGGCATGTACCTTTATCTGTCAATCGGCAATTCTGTGTCATTTAGTCTGTGTGAATTGTCAATAAAACTACACTCTTTTAAGCTCAATTTTGCCGAGTGAATGCAGCCACCATCACTACTTCCTGTGTCCAATACAATATAACGCCATCAAGTGCTGTGCTAAAAACGAGTGGCCATATTTGCGGCAGTTCCCTATCGGTTTATTGCCACTCCAAAGTCCGCGTCAAACCAACAAATCTAGGGCACAGGCTCAAACAAAGACCTTAGGGTATCCGCGAGCAGCACTTTCATGTTACCGCGGAGAGTGGGCGATCAAATGTCTCGATCACGAGAACTTAAAAGGCTTCAGAGTTCAGTTGTGAAGCCCCTCGGCTACATGTAGACGGTAAGTGAAACCCGGGTTGAACGCACCGCTAAATTAACAGCAGCTTTTACAGTAAGGTTGGAAGAAAGCTAAACAAAAATGCGATAAGTTGTAATATACTTTGTTGGTTGGCTGGATGTGATATGATAAAAATACTGGCCGGGAGGCATAGGAAAATTGCATTAAATCATAAAATGATATTTGCCATCTGATTTACTTTCATCACTCAGTGATATTGCATCATGATTGATTCTAGCTTGATGCTCGTTAGGCATGATAGTCGTTCTATTTAAAGGTAGTGTGCCAGCTTTCCTGGACCGTATGGAGTTAATGGCCCAGATAAGGAGAACCGGATTTTTAGAGCTTATCCATACCTTCAAAACTCATGGAAACGTCTTAAATTCTTCAAATTTTGAGTACCCCAGTGCGAAATTCGCCCCGACGGGTTGTCGGTCGTACCCCAACCACATTTCACACCACTATGAACAATAAATGCACACACTGAAATCGCTATTACCGATAGGCTCATCCAATCAAGTTTCGATAAACCCGTTCATCATCATCTCCTGCGGTTTCGAACACGCCTGTTAGGTGGTGCGGTAGACTGCGCCCAAAGCCAGGGCCCCGGTAACGTGAGGTAGCCGAGTCGGGGCAGCGTGCGCTGACCCAAGCCGGGGCCGCGCGTCCTCCCGGTGTCATGTGATAGCCCGGGGCTGCCCGCGGGGATGCGGTAGATCGCGCCCAAAGCCGCGGCCCCGGCTTGGGTCAGCGCACGCTGCCCCGACTCGGCTACCTCACGTTACCGGGGCCCTGGCTTTGGGCGCGGTGGTGGTGCGTCGGGCCGCGCGCTCTGACTTCGGCCAAGAAAAATGCGTCAGCTGATCATTGTCATTTCTGCCACTTTCATGTGGTGAGATGGGGTAATAACTTTAGAGACGGCTGTTTCATATCAATTATTTTACATAAAATAATATTTCCAACCATAAATTAATGTTCGACAGCCAAATTAAAGAAACAATACCAATACAGGCTTACAGTTTAAATTCGACATTGTGTTGTCTACGATTAGACAGCTGATAACTCATTCCCGTACGTCGTAACTCTATAAAGACCTTTGCTTATTGTCACATGTGCGCCGCATTCGTGATTGTTGCCGACGCCTGTTTGCAGATCAGTCCACTACAGTTGTTATACATATCGAAAAACCGATAAACTTTTAGGCGAAAAAAAGCACTATTTTAGGCCCATTTTTGATTTTTTGCGATATTAGGTAAAAACAGAAGCTTCTTATCCTTGGAAAAATAAAATGGGAAATCATTCAAAGGTGGCACACTACCTTTAAGGACATTTGCGAGACTTTGATTTATAAATGACCAAACCACAGCCACACTTCTCTGCCAGCGCATTTCCATAGCTTCCATAAATATAAAAAATGATTTTTTTTTTCGCTGGTAACCACTCGCAAACTGCAACTTGCATATAAATAAAAACGAACCAAACATGCTACTCTACTGGCTATACCACTAAATAAGAACCCCCAATTCACTGGTCACAAGAGCAGGTCGATAAGTAACACAATTAACCGAGTCCAAACTCACGGTCCGCGTTGTTTGATGCAGTGCGCGGCCGTGAGCACCCAGAGGTCGTTGATGAGCACTCCGGAGCATCTGTAGACGACGCGGCGCCGACGCCGGTATCCGAGGGCAACCATCCAGGGCAGGTCACCCTGGTACTCCACCTGACGAGCGCCCACCGTCCTGAAAGGAGGAGCGGGCAGACGAGGTGGATCAACAAAGGTGACCCCGAACCGGTCGATGGGATGGAGCCGTTGAACGCGATAGATCAAGCGTGCGGAGACAGAGAGTGCACCCAAAGTATTGCAATGATTATTACGTGAATCTGAAACAGCTGACGCTAAACATATACTATTTCTTAACAGTCTGATTCACATACGCGTTAAAAACGCACGAGAAAATAAGTTAGATGGGAAATAAATGAAAAGCCACCTATCCCGCTCACCATTCCTGTGGTAGATTGCTGCGCCCGCACTCATTCTCCCTCAGGTTGCTCGGCAGGTTCTGCGGTTTGACCGGCGGCGTGGTGGGCACGGTGTGGGACGGCGGCAGAGTGGGAGGGGTCGGGGGCGTTGGAGGGGTGGGAGGCGTGTGGTCCGGCGGCAGAGTGGGCGGCGTCGGCGGCGTCGGTGGGATCCAGCCCACGGTGGGAGCGGTGGGAGGAGTGGGAGGCGTGGGAGGCGTGGGAGGGGTGAAGTTCGGAGGGTTGGTGGGTGTCGCCGGCAGATCTGCGGGCAGAGACAGAAATGGGAGTCAGTTGCTGAGCGTGTTCTTGTGTTACATCCGGTGATACGCGACGAGAAATGTCAGTGATTTGTGAGCATGGTCTATTTATCCTGACAGTAAGCCCAGGCTTTGTAAAATATGTAAATGACCTTTACATATACGGACAAAATAATATCGAAATGTTCCTCATGTGATGCTCGTCGAGCATATTGCATATGCATTCAAGCCCTGCAGGCTGGCGGAACTTTATCTTACAGTTTTCAGAATATCCTGTTAGCGTTATTAGATTGCTAGTTTCAAAATGCTAACGTGTGCGAAGTACCGAACAACATAAGGCAAACGAGTTCAGACGAGAGCGATCGATGCTACGACTATTTCTGTATGCTAAATCAGAGGAGCACTCATCAAACTCCTCAAATGAGTGATTATTATTGATTATGTATAGTCACTTTTCGGATTATTCTCTGGGATAATAATATATAACTCACAAGTCCAGTGTGAGTTATATATTATTATCCCAGAGAATAATCCGAAAAGTGACTATACATAACTAATTTCCTGGGAAAAAATGACCGGATCACTTGACCGGGTGTTGATGCTAGAGAGTGGCACATTTACAAACGTTCAGTCACACAGCATGGTCGGGTTTAGTGCCTTTTGGTTGCTAGTTCGGTTATTCCGACTACCAACTTCATACTATTGCTGTTCGTTGGTTACCTAGCGGACCCTGTGTTACTGGGGTTAGGTTGACATTTGTTTTTTTTTTTTTGGATATGGT